ATTTGAAAAAGCAAATGTATATACGCGATTTAAATCCGGAAAAATAGTTTCATTTCCTATGTTATTTTAATCTAAACTGTATTTTTTATTATTATATTAATTGTAATGGATAAAATTGTGTAAACATAAAAGTAGCGACGAAATGCCATACTTCTATGGGGTGTCATAGCAATAAGTACCTACTTACCTAATAATAATAACACACACACTCAACATAGACCCGCATAGGGAAACCCGGTGTCGCGGGTACCATAGACATATGTAGACAACCATAAATTACACCCAAACTCACGAGAGAAATAAATGTAGGCCATACAAATATTTCTCCCGGCCCACGAATCGAACCTGGGACCTCTGCGTGGCAGTAGGCATGGTAACCGCTCGGCCACGAAGGCATTTGGAATGGTATTGGTAAAGGAATGTGTTGTTGTGACTTGCATTGTAAATAATCATGTCGAAACACACGAAACATTTTACAAACATTTTCTTCTTTTTTTAAAGTGTTATCTCCTCTGTTAGCTCCATCGATACAATTGATGATCTCGTCAACATCAAGTTAAGACAGGCGTTTCTTACTCAGAATTTGAGCGCAGTAGGCACTACATGGTCATAAATTGTTGTGTCTAAAACATAAATAGTAGGTACAAATTTTCATTGTCTCGTCCACCCAAAGCAAACTAGAGGAATGTAGATACTTCATCTAAACATTCAAAATACGTGCATGCTGTGCTAGTGTTTATTTGTAAATGCTGTTAGTTGAGGATACACGGAACGCGCCGCTGTTCGTCGGGTGTGTGGGGGTGTGCACCCCTGTTTGTCGCCGATACTAACCCGATTACGCCCAATCAGCTTCGTCGCCGCCCTAATTGGGCACCCGGGGGGGCGGCGCTTTTTTAACAGCTTGCACAAACATACAGTCTTGCACACTTGGTGCAAGGTCCGCCGAAGATAAAAAAGCGTGTATGCAAAACAAAGGTATAACATAGGAAATTAAACTATTTTTCCGGATTTAAATCGCGTATATTTGTTTTTTCAAACAAACCGACGTTTACGAATATAAAGGTATAACAACTAACAGGAGCCGTAATGCGACTTTAAAATAATAATACTAATAATAATATTTTGACATTGAACGAATTTTGTTTAGAACAAGCCCACTACGTACGTATAAAAAATTGTAAGGGTTTTTTTACGAAAATAACTATCTTATTTCGTATTATGTTCATTTTTTTGTATTGCGCGTATGTTATTTATAAGTCGTTGATAACAAATGACTAACGAGGGCTATGTAAATAATCTAAACAATACGAATAGCAATCATAATTATCCAGAAAGAATTCTAACTAGATTCGTTAAACAAATTATATGTTGTGTGACCTTATACAAAAATGTAGGTACCTATCCATGGTAGCTATAATTTATGCTTATTTTATACTGGAATGAAAGATTAATCTCTAAATCAAATGCAAACACAGATTAAGTACTGAATTATTTGGCAAAATGATTGTACGAAATAAGAATAAGTGAGAAATAAAGCAATATGATTTATGGAACAGTCAGGGTGGATCTCGTTCGGTTCGCGGTCGGCCGTCGGTCGCCCTCATATCATTTGAGAGAGAGTCATCTGTCTTTATTATAATAACACTTGTACTGCAATGGATTTGGGATTTAATTTCTCGTTCGTTTGTTTTGTATCGCACTGAATTTCGGATTTCGTTTCACGTTCATTTGTTTTAAACTGCAATGGACTTCGGATTTCATTCACTTATTTGTTTTGTATTGCAATGGATTTTGAGTTTTGTTTACATTCATGTGTTTTGTATTGCAATGGATTTCGGGTTTTGCTTTCGTTCATTTGTTTGGTGCTGCAATGGATTTCGGATTTTATAACAAGTTCATTTCTTATTGTATAAATTTGAAAAGACCCTGAGTTAATAAATGTCATACATGGAGTAAATAGTGCTTTGTACTTTGCTTTGTACCTACAGTAATAACAAACGAAATATACGACTTTAGTTCTGTTACTGACAAGGTTTATAAAAACATTCATTTCGCTGAACGTGGCTACGGCATCTACCATGTCTATTATTTTTTATAATATAATGCTTGTAGCGTATTGCTTAGCACGTCATACTATAATTCACGATTTTTAAGTATTTTTAAGTACAAATAAATAAATAAAGAAAACGAAAATCTGTATTTCCTCTAATATATTTTTAAATACAGAGCTATAAACAGAGCATTTTAACCACAATTGTCAAAGTACCTATATAGTATTTACAAAAATCTTATCGAAACTTGTAATAGTAATTATTATTTAAATAAATGGTATGCAATATAACGAGCTTTCATACTTATCATTTCTTAGTCATAAAATCTATGTATATAAAAATTAACATATCTTTCGCCTGTCGGTAAGCGACACGTCTACCCATAACAGTTACAATGACGCTCATAGCTTCAAGCCGCAAACCGTAAAGGTAATTTTTTATGGTATCAAGTGACGGGACTTACAAGTCGTGCGCCTGATAGTACCTAAGCGACACGCTTGTCCATAACAGTTGCCATCACCTTGAGACATAGTAGACAAGTCCCACGTGCCTGTAATTTCACCTTTGCCCTTCAAAACCGAAACGCAGTAATGTTCTCACGTTAATTCTTGGCGGCAAAAATAGGTAAGGTGGTAGTGCTTCCCTGGACTAACTGCATTCTGATTTTGAAAGGCTGGTGAAATTATATGCACATGGGACTTGTCAACTTATGTCTCAGAGTGACGAGCGCAATGGCAATGCCCCAGATTTTTGCGATATAAAGCTTTAAAGATCTGACTGCAACTGCTATGGACAGGCGTGTTACCACCAGGCACACGACTGGTTCGTCCAATCACTTGATATCATAAAAAAACGAGTATTTTACGAGTATACGAATATTCCCGTACCTTGTGAAAAAAGTACAAGCTTTCGTATTAGGGTTTAAATTGACAAACATAATATAAATATACATAATTATCTTTCCTTGTCCGTCAGTAGACGTTTTTGTCATAATGGCCTATTTAAAATTTTAACGACAATACATAATTAGGATTTGTATTCTTTAATTCGCGATACCACATACCATTTGAAATATATTCTTACCATCGCTATTTTGTTCTTTGACAAAATGTCAGAGACTTAAGTAAATAAAATAACAAATTTAATAATAATGTGTCAACATATACTCCATCCAATTCGAGACAAAGTGAGTTGTATGACTACAACTACACTTGGAAAATTCCTTGCACTATGAGAACTCGAGTAATTGAATTCACTCCGTGACATTATTCAGAACATTAGACCAGAACCATTTTAGAAAAATTTATTTCCCAAATTAGTCCTCCCGGGACTCGAACCCGAGACCTGTCTATCCAGCGCCCACAATGTGAACCGTTTGACCACCGAGGTTGTCAGTAATAATAAACCACCCACACAATTACATCAATTACCTCCACTCAAACAACGGGGTTTCCAGCGATTTAAGTACCAGAGTGAAAATGAACTCCAGTCATCCAGAAATTAAACTCGGATCACCCAGACAAAAAGCGATTAAGAAAGATGCGTCCGATCGTTTGATTCTACGGGTAATCGGAACCGGGATTTCTTAACTTAGGATGTTGAATGCCATAGAGCTAGACTCTAGTACATAGAACGTTCACTTAATATGTCAAAGAGTAAATAACAATGGAAAGAAAGTACAGTACCTTAGTAAAGCATTTACTAACTATAGTTACAGGTAAATGGAGATCATTTCGTTCCGACGCGCGTATCACAGCTTAATTTATAATTTATATGTCACAGTCCGCTTTTGGTCGAATTTCACTCTTACTCGAACAATTTAGTTTGAAATAGCTACTTAATATTATCAACAGGACGTTCAAAATAGGCTAATCTCGAAATTTTAAGAAAGGAAACATTACGTCATACTCTATGACAAAAACCTATGGCCAAAAATATTATTAATCACACATTTTGCTTACAGAGTGTTCGTCGACGAACTGTGTGATACTGTGTATCGTATAATGCAAAAAAACTTCACAGACGTTACTGCGATCACACCAAATTAAAAATTTACACAAAAACACATTTAGTTCATCTTCGATTAAATTATTGACGATCTAACCGATTAGCCCGTTTTAGAATATTCTGCAGGTTAAACAGTATAGGTATGTATGTAATATACAATACAAATATTTTAACTAAGATAACAGCTGCTATAACATTTGACACACTTCAGGAACAGTTTTCCCCATTGGTAATTTGTCTTGGAAACTTTTTTGTTATCCCTTTCTTCATCAGTCTTCACTTTTCGATATTTCACTGAGCAAAAAGTTTAATATTGTTAAGACGGCTGTCAATACAATTTTCCACTTTTATCAATGAGACAAGCCTCCATAAAATGGAGCTAACTTTCAAATTATTGGAGGTTTTTCTTTTAAATTTTTATTGAATTGATATTCAATTATTTTTTGTGAAATTACTCCACTAGTTTGTTATAATTATTAATACAAAGATCCCTCAGAAGAACACTCAGAAAAAATTCCTTCCATCCGGCCGGATTCGACCCGACGTCTTCTAGGATACCGTGCCAGACGCTATACCAACTAAGCCACGGAACGAACCAGCGGACCTCACGAATTTTTCTATGTGCTTGTTGTCGTGTCTTTATATTTGGTTTTTCAACGACTTTTTAGTCGTAGCGCCATCTATGAGAAATCTATGAAAGTTTTATTACCCAGTTAGATACCTTTACAGCTACCTGCTCTGGCGAGAGATGTCGCTATTCACTGTGTTTTAAAGGTTTTTCTTTTCCTAAAAATAACTTCAGGTATAATTATGGCGTAACTAAACTGTAGTCTGCACAGTAATGTTTAGCAGAGCAGACTGCGTGTGGGCTGATGATGTACTCCTGTTCTGTTATTGATTTGTTTTTTGTAAATCACCACCAACACCCCTCATGTGCTGGGGCTATGTATCCGCTGGGGCGGAAGCTGGCGCAACGGGAGGTTGAGGCGGTGGAGAAGCGCGGGCGGCCGCCAACGCCGCTGCGTGCCGCCGCGCCTTCAGCCGCAGGTCAGCGATAGACGAGGAGCGACAACGCGCCGCCAGAGCCGCAAGCCCCGCGTACGGCGGACAAAGCGCCGCGGCCGCTGCCGCCGCCGCCGCACTCGCGTACTATAAATGCATCGCTATTAGAAAGTTTCGATGTAGCTTAGTGTCTGAAAGATGTAGCTATCTACTATTAGAATGGTAGTCAAGAACTAGATAAAACATAAAGGCAAAAAATTAATACAAATGAACCTGATGCGCAGCCGCAGAGAGCAGAGCTGTGTCGAACGGCGCGAATGCTGTTGCCGGCGGGTGCGGCACGTGCGCAGGGTGTGTTGGGTGCGCGAGAGGAGGTAGCTGCGCACCTGGGGGTGGACCAGGCGCTCGCGCCGCCGCTAGTCGCGGTACGGACACGTACGGCGCCACGCGACACGGCTCCAGCGGTGTGCCACCGCCGCCCACAACTAGACCTGCAGAACACGCGCAGTATGGTACTGTAGTATGATTAGAAATACTGGCTGAATGAATGTAGGTTTATGTTTAGAATTGTATAAAAAAATAAGATGAAAAAAGAAGAACATCTTGGTGGTTCTAGAATAGGCTTCGATTTGAAAATACGTAATAAATATTTTATTCACGGATACAGTCCTGTTTTATCTTTAAAAAGTCATCTACGCTAATCCTAGCTACGACCTACGATAAGTGGTGGAGGCGCCTTACAAGTGGTGAAATTCCGATTTGGAAAAATTTTATACGATTTTATGGAATAATCTCCGAAGGAAGGAAGAAGAAACATATTTATAAGGTCGTAATTTTTATTTTGTACGACATTTATTCATTGTTCTTGTTATACTAGTGAAAAGTACAAGAAAGAATATGCATCAGAACGCAGCGCAGAAGTTTTCTGGCTTAAACGACGTTGACGAGTTTCTAAATCAGTTTGAGGCGATCAGTGTAGTAAATAATTGGTCAGATGTGCAAAAGAGGTACGTGATTGCATTGTATCTGGAAGAGCCAGCTCTACAGTGGTACAAAACCAATTTTTCGTCATACGCGACAGTACATTTATCTTTCGCAACCTTATCTCCTTAGGTCATTTCCTTTCAGGCGCATTTAGGAACTTGTTAACTTTTTTGCAATTTCCACGTAAAACCTACTACTACCTGAGTCCGTAGCAATTTGTATAAAGTCCTACTAATTTGTTTTACGTGAAAAATAAACCTGTAATCGTAGATCACATGAATCATACTCGTAATTGTTCGTAGCACTTTCGAAGACCTCTACGAAATTTTACATCTGCTAGAACTTATGTCAATTTCTCAATTTACGTTAATAATGCCGCTACTATAAATACTACAATTAAGTTAAATAAAAGTAATTTGTAAGGAGTTAATCGTGGTACGAGTTAAAGCGCTTGCATTGATCCGACGCGATTGGCAGAGACAAACGACCGACGGCGGCGGGCGGAGGCGTGGTGCGAGGCAGAGCGGCACAAATCCACGCGGATCCTTTACCGAACTCCACTTAATTAAATTGATATTTAAGTAAAGCATAATTTGCTCGTAAATTAAGCGAGATTCCTTGTTTATAGCCACCCGCCGGGCGAAGTGCGCAATTAATAAATTAGCGCGGATCTGCCCGACTTAAAATGTTCGGTGCGGCTCTTCTCAAGGATTCATTAATTTAATTACTTGCTCACCTTTCGCCTTGCCTTCGATTAAATACAATTTTGTCTTTATTGCTTAGTCGATTGCTGTTAATTTAATATCGGTATATGTAAGAAAGGCAAATCTGCAGAACGTCAAAAGTTTAATTAGAAAACATTTGGTAGTAAAAGACTCGCAGATGATAATGTACGAGTATGATATTAGTAATAAGAGTAGGAATTTCCATGTGGTCCGTAAATGACTAGACGCGTAGGAGGCAAGTGAGACAGTGCAACCTGTGTGAAGCAAGGAGACCGTGGCAAAAGAGGGTTAGAGGCGGGGGCGCGGTACGGGGCGCGATGTTGGCTGTAAATCAGCTCGCTCCGGTCGCCGTCGGCATTATCAAAATGGATGCTCCCCGCGCGTATGAGTTATTTCCATATTTGACACCGAATTACTTTCCAGAAGTGCGAACATAAATACGAGCGAGAGTGGGAGTCCGGCGTCGCCTCGCACCGGGCGCGCTCCCGCGCCCCTCGCGCGCCCTGGTCGGCGCCCTAGCGACCGCCGTGCATTTATTTGATTAACTCTGAGTTGTTTAATTTAATCGAATTATAAGGTAAACCGGCGCGGCACGAGTGCGGGGGCCGCTCTCCTGCTTATTTTAAACCATTCCGAACATCTTTACGGCGGTTTCTGCACAATAAAATATCGCCACCCTCGAATACGAATAACTTTACAATTTTATGAACAGGGGAACAATTAGGAGTCTGGATTCTTTTATTGTTGAATTTCACGGCGACTGTGATTGTTTTTACGGCGAGCGGCCCCGCCGCCTCGAGATTCATTTCTTCGTTAAAAATAAATTCTTAATTTTATGAAGATTCAGCAGCACTTTTTTATGATTTGTTGCGAAGGTAAAGGCAAAATATTGCGTCCATTTTTCAGATTTATTTGCTCATGATACCTTCACTAACCTTAATGCCTAGAACGTGAGTGCGTGTTAAGTCATAAATTGTTCAATTAAAGTCGAAATTACTTTTAAATAAGCTCTTATAATAATCATCGATATATTAACAGGATTATAATTTTGTATTTGGAAAATATTTCGATGCAACTACAAAAGATAAATAGATCAAAGCGTGACACCACAAACGATTGACTAAATCAATAAGATTGCGAATGTCGCCGCTCGAAAGGGGCATAACATAACGAATAACCGTTTCATTTCACTTTACATGATTGTTCTCGTGTTAGGCCTACGCGGGGAGATGTGGCGGGCCGGGGTAGCGGGGGCACATAAGTTAATAAGACATTTAGCAGGGGACGGCGGGATTGCGTCCGAATGGCTCCCGCGGGGAATCATTTTATTCGATTCCGGCGCAGCGTTTTTTCCGCTTTACGCTCCGTTTAACAGTTCCTATGGAGTTCGGAGCTCTTACAATCACTATCCTATTCAATACGTTGCTATGTAAACATTTGATTAAGTCATTTTATTTATTTATTTTACGCACGGATTTTACTAGTATTTTTTAGAAAAAGTGCGTACGCGTACGTCGTGAACAAAAACAAAATTTAAATATTAACACTTAACTGCCTCAGTGGCTGAACGGCTAGCTTACCACGCTGGACTCCCACCCAGGGTTCGATTCCTGGGCGGGGAGAAACATTACTATGGCCTATATTTATTTCTCTCGTGGGTTTTGATGTAATTTGTGGTTATCTATCTAAGTGTGTGTCCATGGCACCCGCGATACAGGGTTTCCTTAGTGCTATGAGTGCGTGTGTTATAAAAAAAGACACCAGTAAGAAACTACTATTCTCCAAAGTTCATGTTTAGAACTGCTCAAACCTATTTAATTCAAATATTATTTACGTTAAACATTTCTTTAAAAAAAATAGCAATAGGATGCTTTCATAAACGCATTAAGTTGGGCCTTAGTGATAAATTCTCACACGTTGATACCAGTGCCCAGGAGTGTCGTATTGAAGTCCCAGACCAAATGTCGAGCGTCCAATAACTGTACCATGAGTTTGCAGTTATAATTCTCGCAAAATATTTGTATATAAAATGTTATTTGCATCTTATGACCGCTAAAGGTGCAGTACAATTTGCGGTCACTGACAACAACTGTCACAAGAAACTCATAGTAGAGGCACACGTCACACATTTTTCCGCTTACTTAAGGTTTATTTTATCTCGTGATTATAAGGACATTTAATCGATATACGACTTCATTTAAAAAATAAATGACATAACTGAATTCATAACATTTCAAAATTCACATTCAAATTTTAATGCATAAGATTTTATTGCTTAATGGCGGATTTTTGACGCTTCATAGAGTTCTGTGAAATTTTCTCAATATACCTACAATTTTTATCAGGAAGTCTTTATTTACCTTGTAAGCAATCGTCATTAGCATGATTTTGGCCTTACAGAAGTGTTAAAGTGCTTACTTAATATAGTATATATATTAATATGTTAGTCCCAATATCAGTTTGTGGCTTATGTCAACTGCATTGAATGAACCAATATTTTGTTTCTATATTTATATAAGTCTTACTATTTTAAACGATATCGATTGACCACAGCGTGTATTTCGTGAGATTTTTACAAAAGTGTGGCATCGCGCTGTCACCTTCTATCCCCCAAAGTGACATAATAAGCAGTGAAAGAACATTACCGCAACGAGCATTTATCTGAGACATTTTCCTCCGCCCACAAGGGGTATTTGGGACAACATTTTTATTTTATTAACAAACAATCTGGGTAGAATCAATGATATATTTTTGTAAGACATTGTAATCGTGTTCTACATCGCCAATTTCATCATACACTTACAATGCGACTACAAAAAGTGAAAAACACAGAATACGAAATTTGGAATACGTGTCGTAATTAGTAAAATTGTCCAAATATTGCAATTTTCAACTATTACTTTTTATAGTCCTGATATTTATTTGTGTAACGTTCTATCATGAAACTTATTAGGTAATATAAAAATAAATAGTATACAAAATTCTCACTTTTCACCTAGTAAGTTTGACTTCCTACACAACCCTGCTTTAGATATTAAGTCGATTTGTACAAGTACCGAGAACGAGAAATATTTTAGTCATACAAAAGGGCACTTGGAAATTTTTCGGTTTTCAACTGTATATATTTTTTTAGAGATCAGATAAAAACAGCGTGCAAGTAAAGAATACGTAACGCCACACTGTTGCAATAGATGCCCACTATGAAGAATTTAACAATTTACATTCGATGATAATATTTTGCTCTTTATATGTATCAAAGGGAAAAATTGTATCTTTAATACAACGTGCGTGCGTGCGTGTGTGTGTGTGTGTGTGTGTGCGTGTGTGTGTGGGCGCGCGTGCATGTGTGGGCGTGCGTGCGTGTGTGTATATATCTTTAACACAATATATATATTAATGTACGCACATTAATATATGCTTTTATTTTTTTTACAATCGATATATTCTTTTATAAATTTTACAATACGTATAATTCACATAAGTTAGGGATATAGGCCAATAGGAGTAAAGCATTCCTGTGACAACCACGCACGGTATTTAAGAAGTAAATAAATGCATTTATAAATTAAGAGAATATTGAACAAACTAAATAAATGTACTATACATTTATCTTAGAAAAGTTTCTTTTTCAAATTGGTACTAGCGGGAATTGGTTGCGGTATTTCGTTATCTAGCACCATAGTAATAGTCGCTAAGCCACCGAGCCGTAAAACAACGTAGATTTTTTTTGGCGATATCTCCATGTAGACCTTACTCAAGAATCGAATCTTGACCATTGGGGAGTGGGGCCCGCTAAGTGTGTTGTGCAATTTCCTCAATTTATCGGTTGGCGAGTGCTTCCCGTTTTTTGCTCCAGCTCACCGCTCGCCGCGCGCGCAGTTTAATTATTCATCCGGCTGAGTTATGGTCGAATTAAAAAACTGTTAGAGTCCGCCGGCGCCGCCCGGAGCCGTAATCGAGTTAGACGGAGTCATGCAGAATACATAATGGCTACCAGCTTCACTATGTAGTTTATAGCGTCTTAATTCATTCGAAAAAATCATGGTTATTCGAACCTATCAACGAAAATTTATAAGTTAAAGTAATGATGTGGTAACCTGATGGTTTGACCTATCGCCTCTCAAGTCAAGTTGAGTGTCGTGGATTCGAATCCGGGCTTGCACCACTCAGGTTTTCGAAATTTATATACGAAATTTGATTTGAGATTTACCGTGAGCTTTTCGGTGAAGGAAAACATCGTGTCGAAACCTGCACACATCTGTAAAAGATGAATTTAGAATTTAGAGTAATTTTCAAGTTAGTTTCCGCTACCTAATTTTCGGTGGCAATTGTCATCATGTAAGGATTCGAGTATATTATCGTGAAATGTTAAGTAATATTTCAGGATACTACACTCGAATGTTAAGTAATATTTCATGATACTATCCTAGAATATTCAAATAATAAACTTGCCACCGAAACTAGTTAGAGAAAACTAACATGAAAATTACCCTTTAATTATGTGTGTGAAGTTTCCAATCCGCCTTGGCTCGCGTGGGAACTACGCCCATAACCTCTCTAATTGTGAAAGAAGGTCTGTGCCCAGCAGTGGGAGTATATAGGCTAACTATTATTTATTATTATGTTTTATTATATTACATAGATAAGAGACAGGCTTGGAATTACCTTTCTACATTTACACCAAAATCCGGAGACAACTAACTGTACGATGTTCGTTAAATTAATTACCTTGTAAAATCTATTGTTAAGGTGGAAAACAACAATTATTTTGAAGAAATTATTTGTATTTGTAATATTTGCAACAATTCTGAAAATCAGCTTCCGCACGAATACACTCATTGCATATACGCAGTGTACTAACTCTAGGGGGGTAGGGGGAGGTATAATTTGCATTGTAGTTTGCAGTCCACAGTTTGCAGTTTCGACTACATTAACCGCAACCGTTTCAATATAAGCCCGTGACATCCAGACAGTTGTTAGCATTAAACGAACACGTGCTTTGCATAAGATAAATTAATTTTGTCGAGTATTGCCAAAAGCTAGTCATGTTTAAAATATTTTTTTGTTAACTGCTTGTACAAATGGTTTAAAACTAATGTGAATATAATACTATACTCCGTCCAACCATTTATTTAACTTTTGACTTATGCATGCCTCCGAAGTAATTATTGACATACAACCATAGACATAAAATGCAATACTTCCTGGACTCTTTTATTTTTTAATTTTAGTGAAGAAACGGGCTCTTTAGGTCCGGATGTTTATCTAGCGAACAGATTATGTAACGAAGATTATTCAAGTTGATAAATTTTGGTACCTGTGTAATAAATTATAATGAAATTAAATAAATTGTAAATCATCATAATAAATTCTTATTGTTTATTATAATGAATCGCCGGATCTCTATATGAACTGGAATCATCGCTTGAATCCTTCAATAATTGAATCTTTAAATTATCAATTCTTGAGTACACAAATTGTCAAACGCAACAACACAATCCCAATCAGACAATATCTTCGTTTTTGAACCCGCTCACATTCACGATTAAATATTGTTCATAAATAAAATCAATAGTTATAAAACAATCACTAATTTAAGCAATTAGTGATTGTGATTGATTAGTGAATTAGTGAATTCGAGCTGTCAAAAGTTACATAAATGGTTGCACGGAGTATAGTATAGGGTCAAGAGCACGTCAAGCTTGACACTTAAGATTTAAATCTCACTTTATGCCGCTTATGATAAGAACGGTCCGAAGTACAAAGTGTAAAGATTGACGTGCTCTTGACTGTACATGCTATAAAAGAACTATACATCAATGTAAACTGTCATTTTTCTACATCTCTTCATACTCTCTGTTTTAATAAATCAAACAAGAATCGATTTCGGTTAAAGATACAAATATACAGGTTGTCTCACTGCTATGCGTCACTGAGGGTACCTACTTTAAATATTGTAGATAGGATATTCTGCTTTATGAAGACATTATTTTATTTTTAAAAGTACAACATTCCTTCAGTGAAAAGCTTATGGTAAATTTAAAATTAAATTTCATTTGTCAATTGAGATTTCGAGAAAATTAATTGAGAAAAAAACAAATGTTCCCCTTACGTCGAGTCGATAGTCGTATTTTGCTTTTATTTTGAGTGGGGTCTAATTCTTAGGTTTTCGCGATTGTTACACATAGGAAATGAAACTATTTTTCCGGATTTAAATCAACCGTGACCATGAGGCCAAAAAACAAATATTTAAATTTTAGATTTAAATCCGGAAAAATAGTTACATTTCCTAAAGTCTAATTCTTTTGTATGTTCTTCGTAGTTGAATGAAAATTAAAATGTAGTTCTGTTGAAGTGATTTAAAGAACTTTACCATCATATATAATTATTAGATACTAACAAGACGTCTGGAATATTGATCGCGACAAAACTTAGTAGTACAATTACATGCTTCAAGACCAAGTAAGTGTACCCTCAGTTTTGTATGAAAATAACGTGTTTACTGTTCTTCTAGATATTTAATTATAGGATATAAATGTTTGAATGTGATATTTTCATTGTAATGTTCACTGGGCGTTTACGTATATTTGTATTATATAGGACTTTGTACACAAGAATGAAAGATAAATGTGTATTGATACGTATACGTATGGTAAAATAGCAGTGATTTTTATATTTTATTTATTAGAAAGTAGATATATTATAGCTATTGTAGATATGTAAAAACGGTTATATACAAGTTCATATCACTTATGAATAACGTCTGTGTTATGGTAGTAACAATATAATTTAATATGTTAAATAGACCGAGGTAATTGTAAATACAACGCCGAATAAAGGTTTTATATATTGTTCAGCGCTTTTCATTTATTTTTACTGTGCCAGACGTGACATAAAGAGAATAGGAAGCGTCAACACCACGATTGTGTCGCCAAACATAGTCTTCAAGGCACAATGTAAGGCGAACTATTCGATTAAACAATCTGTGAGACTCTACCATGAGATGACAATGACAGTTATCGCTGCTGACCGCGTAAAATTGTTGTATACAAAATGTTGGTTATTCTCGTGACCGCTAAGGGTGCTGTATAATTTGCCATAAAAAAATTATGAAGTAATTTAAGCGGTCACTAGCGACAACTGTCCCAGTAACCTCGTGGTGGAGGCACTGAGATTCTTACCTTTATGCATTTGGCTCTCGTGTTTGCGGCACTTCGCGCGTCGATTTTGAAACCATACCTGTAGAAATATATTATGTTTATATCACGCGAAACATTTAAAAACAAAATGCATGACTTCCTCACTAGAGGATGTCAATTTTCGTACCATCGTATCATTAGCTACGTGTTAACCACTCTACCAGTAACGACAGTTACTACGACTGCCGTCCTTTTATTTTGTCGGTGGCTTATACGCAGCTGAATCCATTGAATTATATAAACTTATTATTTCCTTAAATTATAAAACAACACCTATTATAAAATGTTCATGTTCATTGCCAACAAAGAATAACAAGAAACTACTTAAGTATTGTACGAAGAATTCAAACAAATAATATAAAGTAAATTAATAATTGACTGCACGATCTAATAAAAGAAAGAATGAAGGATAGAAGGAATTAACGAAACAAAATTAAGATAAAAATATTTATCGTAAACAAAGTCCCCCGGGGCTGCCAGAAGAACAGTCAAAAGGACATCAAAGCTTGACAGTTCGACTTTGGACCCTTCTTATGGCAAGCGGTGCAGAGTTTAATTTAGTGCTCTTGACCCAGTACGTCACGTGTGTACACACAGAGTATTCCAACTCTTTACAGGGCGCGCGGCGTTGCAAATATTTTTATGCAATCGTTGCATAATGAGGATTCTTAAAGTCGAGTACCCTGTTTAGGCCACGAGGCTTTACCGAATGGCATAAGTAATAGGTACGAGTTTTTAAAACCTAATTATGTAATGATTGTATACAATATACTTTTCCTACGAGTGAATTCAAGTGAAATCACATGGGACTTGTCAACTTATGTCTCAAAGTGACAGGCGCAGTGGCAGTGCTCCTCAGACCTTTGCGATTCAAAGGTCTGAGTAGCACTGCAACTGTTATGGATAGGCATGTAGCTTGACATCAGGCGCACGACTTGTTTGTCCCGTCACTTAATCTTATAAAAAAAAATTAAAATAATGAAGCACAACCAATACTTAATAGTTCTTTTTTGCCAAATGGTTACGCCTTTGTACCTGTTATGTACAATTTGAGACATTATTTAATACAATGAATTTTAATAATTTCACGAATGTAGTGATGTTATTCTATGCAAGAACGCAGTGATTTTAATTAGCAATAACACGACGTTCTTTTTTATGGTTCTGTGTACAGCCATATCCATAATTTCAGTTCAGTAGCGAGTAGGTACCATAGACAATAGAATTTTGGTTCAGAACTAGGCTTTTCTCAGATTGAGTAGAAAACTTGAAAAGCGCCAGAAAGCGTCTGTACAAATCTTTATATTCGTGTAATAGCTAGAGTTTCAATGGCGGCACCATTACATCCGGGTTTATGGCTTCATTTTTGGTCGAAAAATTATTGCAGCAAATTTTTGATAACTCTTTTGCTCCGACTGTTGTATTATATGTTTTGTATTATAACTTGGTAAAGAATCAAAAATAAGATTTTAGTAAATGGAATTTGAAACAGCTCCGACTGTTGTGGCGGTCGAGCTGGGAGTCACCGTGGTACGAAAACAAAATGAGAAAGTGAAGGAAGATGGAACAATCCAAATTTAAAATTTAAATACAAGTAAAATAAAAATAAAAATAGGATACAAGCAGAGAGAGGCGACACAAAAAGGTGAGATGACGGTGTAAGGAGGTCATACCGTCACAACTTAACTGTTCAAACTCAATAAGCGTGAGGATTTTAAATTTCAATGTTTTCTATAAACTTTTATAATTGATATGCTCGCATATTGTGGATTAGTTCTGATTTAAAAAATGATAAATGGCAAGTTCCATAAAAGACACATCCTGCAATATTGGCGCCAATATCAGTGACTCAAACAATTATGCAATTCGTATTTTAAATAAACGAAGTAATGAGTTCTTAAATTTGCGCAATTACTGCAAATTGGAATTGAAACTAAATTTTTGGGATCTTAATACATTTTTTTTTTCTTTTTTCAACAAAACCAATGTTTCAGGCACTTTACAAGTCCTATGATCACGGCTGACTGACCATGTCAAATAAATATAATAGGATCACCATCTAGGAAACTTTTCACGAGAGAAGCCATAAAATTCTGAAGCATATTACGCTACATCTGGCGTGTCGCAAGGTTGCCACCTTACACCAGTACTATTTTAGATATTGGTGAATGGTGAAAGTCTTTATTAAACAAAAAAATTCTCACTGTTTGCTAACAACATGAAGCTGTATATAATGTGCCACTCCCAATAACTATTAACTCCTTCAAGCTGATCTTGATAGAATGTGGTCGTGTTGTAAAGATAATAATATGAAATGAAACTATTTTTCCGGATTTAAATCGCGTGTCTTTGTTTGCAAACAAACCAAAAAACAAGGTTTGTTTGAAAAAACAAATATACGCGATTTAAATCCGGAAAAATAGTTTCATTTCCTATGCGTAACAATCGCGAAAACCTAAGAACTCGATAATAATATGACTTAAAATATATATAAACAAATGCTACCATATTAAATTCACAAGGAAAGAAGGCCACTAAATTACACATATAAGTTGAATCTTGTTTATTAATTTAAAAAAATGAAAATATGTGATTTTTTATGTGACACGCAAATTTCACAAATATGGTGCGAAATTCACTGTAACTATCTAAATTATTCCCTTTTAAAATAACGCTTGAAAATATACACAGAACACTTTTGACATTCCGATCACGGTCAACCGTATCTCGTAACATGAACATGAAGTTCAATTGACAGTCTTTGCACGGACGGATCCCGATTCGTATAAATAGATAGCCAGTTTAACCACTTTACTGTATTGATTGCGTAATGCCAACGCCGAGGTCTAAATACAGTAAATATACAAAGTATTTTTTTAAATGACCAAATCAAAACAAAGAAATTTTGTTTTACGATTTTCGGAACGACGTTTCACATGACGTTTTGACTCTAAAATATTATATATCAACAAACTGCTGTTGCAGATTTGACGGGGTTCTTTAATTTTCTTTTTTCATTTCTAATGGTGAAATTATAGGCACATGGGACTTGTCAACTTATGTCCCAGGGTGACGAGCGCAGTAGCAGTACCCCTCAGATATTTGCGATTTAAAGCTCAGAGTGGCACTGTAACTATTATGGACAGGCGTGTCGCTTAACACCAGGCGCATGACTTGTTCGTGCCGTCACTTGGGAATATTAAAAAAATGGTAGGATGAAATTTGTTTATAATATTGTACAGTCAACAACCCATCAAGCTATACACTCTGGTTCGAATTTCGTCTCCAGTGTGACGCAACAAGATCCGTCAATGCGTAGCTTGATGTACTGCCGTCTGTAATTAGAAGTTTCAGATTAAAATTAAATCAACCTTGTAAATGGTCATTGCCAGCTGCAGTAACTTGGTTTTTACTACTACAACAACTTTGTTTAGTAGCAGTAGAGCTCCTTGTGAAATGGTTCGTCCAGGGAAATACCCTATTTCTGCCTCCAAACAGTAATGTGAGCATTACTGTGTTTCGGTTTTGAAAGGTAAGAGTGCTGGTGAAATTACTGGCACATGGCACTTGTCAACTTATGTCTCAAGGTGACAGGCGCAGTTGCAGTGTCCTTCAGATCTTGCGATTTAAAGCTCTGAGTGGCACTACAATTGCTATGAACAGGTCTGTCGCTTAACATCATGCGCACGACTTGTTCTTCCTGTCACTGGGTATCATAAAAAAACCGATTTAATTAAGTCCAAAAACGTATACACCATATCTATATACACTTTAAAGAAGTTTTTCACTTATTGTAACACAAAATTTAAGGAAATTTCGTTTTTAGAACAGATCATCATAGACGAATATTTTTATTAGAATCTCTAAATAGAATATAAAAATGTTATTCATCGATTTCGGCACGTCATGTCATTGCCATAATGCCACGCATTGGTACATAACGGGTACACGTAGGCAAAGCGATATGCACGCGAGCTCGCGATCCGCTAACTAGGGGCGCATTCATTAGCTCTGATTACATTAGACAATATTAAACAGCAAACAACAACGCCGCCCCCCCGTCTGTATCCGTCTAGTTTGCATTTTCAATTTGACATACGGTCATAGTCCAAAATAAATCCTTATACACACGGTATTTGCGAGTTAATACATTGGTCACATTGGTCACTACAATATGAATATCTGTTTAATATCACAGGCGTCATATTCGTAGCACAGGATGTAACTCGTAGCACATTCGTAGCACTTGTTCGAACACTTTCTTTGTGTAAATTAGATTGATTCTTAAAATAAAATCCAGTTGCAGTAATTTCTATAACATAAGAAATAGGAAAATGGTACGTGTGCAAGGAATGTATGTCTTGATATATAAAACATTAAAATTGCATTAAGTATACAAACGACACGGCGTGACAAATTTGATAAAGAAAAATTTAATCTATATAGACAAAATAAATTAAATAATTACGTAATTAATTAAAAAAATAAGAAAGGGATCCAAAATAATTAAATGACTATTTGTAAATCTCAGCGACAAAGGGAACATTTCCTACAATAATACCCAAAAAGGCAGTCCAAATAAATATACGAAAATCAGAGAAAATCCAATAATGTGACATTTCCAATTGACACTAGTGAAGACGAACTGCCCAGGGTCAAGGCTTTTATAAAAGCTAGTAAATAAATATGTTGTGTTTTCAATCGTTCATTCGGCTTAATATTCGGCATAGAGCAAGTGCACGTAAGCAGTGAGAGTAACGAAATAAAATGTAGTAGCTGTGTCGTAGCCTGTGTAATTTGTTGCGTAGTAGAGATTAAAAATAAAGAGAAACCTTCTGTCTCCCTGTACATAATTGAAGCATAATATATTACTTACAATTCAACATTGAAATCAATTATCTCATTTAAAATCTATCGAAAAAACGTTTTCCAGTTGATTGTTCAACCTTGCATTAATCAACATACAATTTCGACAACTCGAACGAGTCACGACATATCAAGTATTATTATTGATACAGGATTCGGACTGATAAAACTTCGGACTCGGCAAGTACGTCCCCCACTCTAGTAAAATCACTTAACGCCGATCAGACGGTAATAGCAATATATGGGCAATAGAGTGGCACTTGTTGGGTAGCTAATTGCCTGCATTAGTAATAAGGGGTCGCGGGTGCTATGCTGAGGGACGGAAGGGGCGACTGCTTGAACGTAATTAATATCGCACGTGATAATATCAACGATGCGATTGTTTTGATGACGGAAAACATAGATACTTTGCGTGTAGCATGTATTTATTTAATCGAACTACTGCTAAAATTTGTAAATGTGTCAAAACTTTTATTTTATGAGATCAAGTGACGGGAACCATAACTCGGTCGCCTCGTCACGCTGAGACTAAGTTGACAAGTCTCATGTGCCTGAATTTCACCAGCACTCTGATCCTTCAAAACTGAAACGCAGTAATGCTCACGGTTGGCGGCAGCAACAGATAAAATAGTAGTAACTAT